ACATTTTCGAATAGAAAAAAAAAAAAAAAATTCTCACAAAAAAAAAAGAGTAACGCATGTGGGATTTTTTTTATAAACACATACATATACACACACAACAAACAACATACAAACAACATACAAACAACACAAAAAAAATTAAATAAAATAAAGCTCCCTATTGGGGCAAATCAAAACAACGTACAAAAACGTTTGTTTTCATAAGTAAACATCTATCTCATGAGAGTAAAATCACAACGTGAAAAAGTCGTCGTCGTCGTCGTTTAATTAATGTTTTAAAATCATCATCATCATCATTTACTCCGATTTTTTTTTTCTTCTTCTTCTTCTTCTTGGAAGTAAGATAGTCAGTCATTTTTTTTTTGTCTTCTTCTTCTTCCCTTCGTTATTAATAAAAAAAAAAAAAAAAAAAAACGTAAAAAAAAAAAAAACTTACCATCGGATTATCCATGCTATTTCCATAAGGCGACTGGTATCCAGGTTTTTCTGCAAATTAAACAAAAATAAATAAATAAATTAATTAATTAAAAATTTTATTAATAATACTTTTAATCGGTTATAATTCCCATCGAGTAATTCCTTCATTAATTATTTCAATAATTAATGGAAAAATAATTTTAAAAAAACTTTCTTTCAACGAGACATTTTGTTATTTTTAAAATTATTATTATTATTATTAATTACTTCAATAACATCCTTGGATCGTCTACATCGGGGAAAAGGGGGGGATCATCGATCCCAACTCGGATGCTAGTAATAATAATAATAATGATTATTTGTTTATTCGCAATTAGAACACAATTGAAAAAAAAGTAAATAGATAAATGAAATGAAAGTCAGAAATGAAAACGGTTTTTTTTTCTATTTTCTTCTTTTTTTTTTTTTTTTGGGGGAACTTTTTGCTTTCCAACAACAATAAAAGGAACAAGACAAAAAAAAAAAAAAAAAAAGAAAGAAAAAAGGAGAAGACCCCTTTGTAACCGAATTAACAATAATATATGACGTTCAATTTCGTATGTTGCGCTGTAAAGTTGAAAAAGCACTAAATTTCAATTCCGCAAAAAAAATCCAGCCTTTTTTTTTTTTTTAACTTTTTCTATTTTTTTTCTTTTTTTCTTTTTCTCCTTTTCTTTCTTTCCACCATTTTCCTTTCCTCAAACAAAAAAAAAAAAAAACCTTTTTCTTTTTTTTTTTTAAGACTAAGAAGAAAAATTTATTAAAAAATAATAATAATAATAATCGCATCGTATATTTTTATGTTATAATCGTTAAAAACTATTTTGGAAGCGAAATTTTCACGTTCAACATTCCATTTTTGGAGGAAAAAAAAAAAAAAAACAAAAAATTAAGATTTCCGTTTAAAGAAGGTTGTAGTATTCGGGTCAAAGGTTAATTATAGTAAAAAAAAAAAAAAACTATATATTTGAGATTATGCAATTTAACTTTACGCTGTTGGAAACACGAAAATTTTTTTTGTCTTTTGTCCTATATAGTACCTCGTAAAATTTAACTTTTTAAGAGTTAAAAAAGAGAAAAAAAAAATAGGAAAAGGAGGAGGGCAAAAAGAGAGAGAGAGAGAGAGCAAGAAAAAAGATACTCTTCGTTGTTTTTAACCCATCATCATCATCATCATCATCATCAGTAACTAAAATCAGGATGGTGGTTACATTAAAGACACCTGGATCCTGGTTGTTGAAGGTGGAATGATTGGTTTTAGACTAAGGTCAAAAACCCCTGATATTCTATAAGATGTTGTTTTTGTTTTGCCCATATTTTCTCTTTGTCTCTCATCCCGTGTGTATTATTATTATTATTATTATTATCATCATTACTTCTCATGTTGCAAACGAATTTTGGTTAATAATAAAAACTTTAATTTTTTTTTTTTTTTTCGGTAATTTGTTACATTTTTTTTTATTTATTTTTTTAAAATTCAAAATGGCTAATTTTTCATGTATCTTTCCCTTAAAAATAAGAAAATTTAATTTATTTACATAGATACATTAACATTAGAAAATCTAATAAAATAATAATAATAATAAAGAAAATTTGTTTTTTTTTTTTTTTTTTAATACAAATACTACGTCTCGATTTAAGATTTAAATAAATAAATAAATAAATATGACATAACTTAAAAGTTACAATCGGAAAATTTTCGGTTTCGTACCGGATAAAAAAAAAATTAAAATTTAATTACATGAATTACAATTATATAATTTAAATGAAGCAAAAAAAAAAAAATTGCAATTTAATTTATCGAGTCGCTAAATTTTCATCACTAATTTTTAAATCGTTAAATAAATTAATTAATAAATTAATTAATTATTTGCAAAACTTTTGCCTTTGCTTAACGTGTCACACCCTCTCTCTCTCTCTCACTCTCGCGACAAAATAAATAAATAATTTACGAAATACGTAAATAAAATAATAATAATGATAATAATAATAATAATAATAATAATAATAAATCGCGTGTGTTTACAATTGTGTGTGGAAGAGCGACACGTCTTACTGTCGTCTTCATCATACAAAAATCAACATTCCATTTTTTTTTCTCATTTACACAAAACAAGCGCGTGTAATTAAAAAAAATAAACTGCCTCATTATTATTATTATTATTATTATTACCATTATTACTACCGCTATTTTATTATTATTATTTAGTAATTGTCGATTTTTTTTCCTCCCCCCCTTTTTTTTAATTTGTCATGTTAATTATGTTTCGAAAAAAAAAAAAAAAAAAAAAAAAAAAAAACAATTCTTATTCATTCCAAATCAAAATCGAAAGTTTATCGAAAACCATGTATAAAAAATGATTTTTTTTTTTTTTACTTACGGGAGAAACAAGTGAGAGAGAGAGAGAGGTATAAGAAGCTGAGAGAGAAAGACAGAGAGAGAGAGAGAGTGAATAAAATTGAAATAACCGTGGCCACAATCAAAATTTGTGATATGTAATATTCGTAATAGCTGACAGTTACAAATGGTTTCGCAATTTATTCGTTCAAAGAAATAAAAAAAAAATATAAAAAAAAAAAAAAAAATTCAATTGCGTAAATACCGGTCAATCTCAAATTTATTAATAAATAAAAACAAAGATCTCACGTATACGATTTTAAAAAATAAAAATATATAATTTAAATTTAGCCATTTAAAAAAATTATTAAAATTAAAAAATTAAAATTTTATTATCCCATTCGATTTAACGAATAAAACGAATTCAATGATGGCAATTTATTTATTTATTTAATTATTTTTATGTAAAAAAATTATTGATATAATTAATAAATTGTTAATAAACATTGTGTGACCCAATAATTTTTTATAGTTTTTTTCGTAACGCATAAAATAAAATAAAAAAAAAAAATTTATACATAAAATCTTGACATTTAATATTTTTTTTTTTTTTTAGTTTTAAAAGAAATTATCATGTCAAAGATCCTGCTGTATAAAACAATAAAAAAAAAAATTAAAAAGGGTAACTAACTTTATCGATTAAAATGTTTTTTTAAGTCATCACAAATATATTTTTGGTTTTTTTATATACTTTGATTAAATTAATGTTAACAAATTATTATTATTATTAAATCAATAATTGTATCTATGTAAATGAAATATCGAATTGGTCAGATAAATCGATTAAAAATTATGACTTTTACTTACAAATGATTCAGACACAGTAATTCATATTCATGATAAGAACAATATCGAACAACAACAAAAATTTTACTCGAATTACCAGCGACTATCAGTTAATTTACCACTCAAATAAATGAAAAAAAAAAACAAAAATTTTGAATTTTAATATAACAAAAAAAAACTAAACAAGTACTGTTTGCTTGTGTGTGTGTGTTACTCTTCGAAATAAATAAAAAACAGTTTTGAAAGTAATACTCGAATGTTTTACATACATTTAAAATTGTTTTTTTTGTCTGTATTAATAATGTAAATGTTTTCTCAAAACTACAAAGCTTGGTCAAATAATAAAATATATATGTAATTCCCAAATAGAATTTTTTTTGTGACATGGAAAAGAGAAAACAGACTAAAACATTATTTACCTGAAAGAAAAAACTGTGCAAAGTAAGAAACACAAAACCAATGAATGTCCTTGCTAACAAAAAGTACACATAAGAAAAGAAAATATTGTTCATAATGCAAATTGAATCCAAAACATGGTTGACATGTCCCCAAAAAAAAAAAAAAATTTAATTACTTTTTTAAAAATAAATTTTAAATTTAATAAATTCAATTTTTTTTTTTTTTTGCAAATAATTAAATCATTTCATTGATAAAAAACAAAAAAAATTGATAAAAATTGATAGATTGCATCTAACTTTAATGAAATGATATTGAAAAAATGTGACACCTTTAAGAAATTATATATTACAAATAAGTAAACAAAATGAATTTTGATTTTATTTAACTAATTATTTTTTTTAAAAAAACATTATTCGAGAAATTGTAAATAAAATTACAATTATTATTTGTAAACTCGATTAATGTCGATTGAGATTTAAAAAATTATTTAAATGAATTGTTTTTAACTGTTAAAATTCTGATAAATAATAAAATAAAATAATGAATAAAAGTAAATAAATAAATTTTAAAAACTCCATTCCTGCTTATTGAACTAAAACATTGAAATAAATAAAAAAAAAAAAAAAAAAAGTAATCACAGGAATTGGTAATGAAATAATGAATGAGTTATTAAACAAATAGTAAATTAAATGTAATATATATATGAATAAGAAAATGAATAAAAGAAATTTTTAAATGAAAATAATTTTTTCCATTGTTAAAAAGAACAGGATAGTAATAGAACCATTCATGGCCTATTTTAACCATCCGACATGATCAAAACAAACGTATTCAACGTATGCAAAAAACTTAAAAACAACACTAAAAATTCGTTAGAATTCGATTAAATATTAATGAAAAAAAATATATGAAAAACATTAAATCTTTTCACATTGATAAAATAAAAATATATTGAATATCGTCATAAAATTTTCAGGGAAAATTTAACTATAGGTGGATGGAACAAAGCGAAAAAGCCAGAAACAGGACGCGTCAAAAACACATCATTTAACTCTTAGAATTATGTAGTTATTAATAATAAAATTGTTATTGTCATATCCTTATTTGAGTAAAATTAAAACGTACACAAATTTTTATACCAACCTGGTTGTTTGTTCGCGATTTTATTAAAACAATTTTGAAAAACTTCATATAAATGCATAGGTTCATCATCACTGGTCGCCATTTTCTCAACACGGACTGCAAGATGGACGCTGGGATTAGTTACATTTTTTTTCATTCAGCAGCACTAGTCAAATATTTTTTCAAGGATTCGACATATAGACAATTGTTATTTGAAATTTATTATAATAACGGTTTAACACATAACCTAAAATATTACAAATATTATATATTTTTTTTTAAATGTCTCAAAAAATTTATTTTTTAAATTCGTATTTGATTTAGTATAAAGTAATTTTCGGTAATTTTAATCACTTTTAACTTGAAATATTATCTGTTAACTTTTTATTCAAAATCAAAAGAAAAAAACCCGGTGTGTTAATATGTACATACATTATAGATTAAAACTAAAATGAATTTTTATAAAATAAAATTTAATTATCTTCGTTTAGAGTTACAACTCATAGAACTTAAAAAATAATTGTTAAAAATTATTAAATTGAAAAAATAAATAAATAGATGAAAATTTTTAGGTTAACTTTCATGAATTTTTATTTTTAATAACTTAATATAATTTTTAATAACCGATGTTTAAAGTGTTTTAGAAATAAGTACCATCAAAAAATAAAAAAATGAATTGCATTTAATAGGAAATATTTATAAAAAAAAAAAAAAGAAATAATAATAATTATGTTATGTAACAAATTTTTATTACACATAAATTTTTATTTTTAATGCTTTCTCAAAGCAAGCAGTAACAATATTGTAGAACAAATCAAAATTATGTAATTAAAACCCTTAATTGAAATATTGATATAACAAAAATTATTATTATTATTATTAATATGAAAAAAATAAAAAAATAAAAAAAAAAAACAAAAATAAAAATAAACAACTTTTTTTGTAAATGAGGTAATAATTATTATTATTATTATATCTATATAAAAACCAGTTTAAATGTGTCAAATGATACTGTTTTTAAAATTTAAATTTTTTAATTGAGGTATTGAAATAATAAATGCATTGCTTAAATGACTGAATTTAATGAAATTTAATTCTTATCGAATGCTAGCTCCATGTAATGTCATATCCCTTCCAATTAACATGTGGAGCTAAATGCACTCTTTTACCCTTATATGAAAATGTTACAACTCCTCGATAAGCCGTTCTCGGAACTCCACTCTGAAAAAAGAAATTTAAGTGAAAGCTTTCTTTTTTTGCTTAAATCAAATAACAAATGAATAAATAAATGAAATTCTTTGTCTAAACTAATGATAATTACCCTAAAATCATCCATTAAACCTATATATTTTGCAGATTTTTTATACTGATCCTTTGTGTAATAGGGCAACCTAACAGAACCAGTCGGTAGGTTGGGATTATTTTTTAAATCTTCATAAGAAACTTCTGGACTTGAATAAACATCTTTTACAAAATTGACGTCATAAACATCTTTTAATAAATATGTCAAATTTAGTTTTGTAAAGCTAACAAATTGGTTATTTAATTTTATATATTTTAAGTGCTTTTCATAAAACAGCCCGCTGAAAGAAAATTTTTTCTAATTTAATAATACTCAATATGATAAAATGTATTTTTTTTAAATAATTTAAAATCAAAGTTTTTTTTTTTTTTTCTTACTTGCTAACCCCCACTTTTCCAAAAGTTCTAGTTCTGGAAAGTTCTGGTCTAATACAAGCGCGATTTTTCCTTTGTTCAGGCTTTCTAATCCAATCATCCCAATAAGATTTAGGCCACTTTTCGCTGAGTTCAGCCCATAACGAACCTTTATACGAAAAAAAAACACTTATTTATTCATTCAATTTTAAAAAAAAAATTAAAATCATTTCAAATAAATTTCATTTTATTACTTGTAAGCATCCATCCAAGACCAGGAAAAAAATCAGTTCTATGAAGAAGCTCTGGTTGAGACTCATCAATAAGGCCACTTTTCCCATTGTCATTCCAAGCGGACACACACCATAGCGAAGGATCCCCTTTTAATAACCAATATGTTCCTAAAAAGTATTCAAAAAAATCTGGTGCTATTATTAAATCATCTGAAACAAAAAAAAACAAAATAATTTTTTCAATTATTTTATTATAAATTTCAAAAATAAATTTAATAAATGAAAAAAAATTAATTAACCTAACCTTCGACAATGATTGCTGTGTCAAATTTAAAATTAAAAAAAGTTTGATTCAATGCCCATCCATAATGTCTAGCTATTTTAAAATAACCTTTGAACTTTTTTTCTTTTACAGGAATTTGAATTTCACTTTGATCAGGTTGCTATAATTTAAATTATTATTATTTTCATAACTGCATAACATGAATGACTTTTCATTAGAAAAATTATCAAACCTTAATTAATGTAATTTGATCTCCATATGATAATATAACATCTGTGGTGGGCTGATGAGAACAATCTTGTGATACAATTATTGGAAATTGTTCTTTTGAAGGTCTCCATCTTAATAATTCATCAAGACATTGTGCAACGGTAACACGATTACAACTTAAAACTAATATTGCAATGACAGGTTCGCCATTTTCTAATCTGTTTTTCGGCATATTATTTAAACTAATGTCCTATTAAAAAAAAAAAAAAAAAAAAAATTAATTATTCTCTGATATAATATCTCAATAATATTATTATGTAATAAACCTTTTTTTTTTTTTTAATGTTAAGAAATATGATAAAAACAACAAAGTATCACATTTAAATTTTATCAAATGGAAAAAAAAAAAAAAAGAACAAAATGATCGAATAAAAAAAATTAAAAATTAATTTTAAAAAACATATTAAATATAAAAAACAAAATCTTAAAGGTATCATATACTAATTCACTAACCATAATTGCATTTATAGAATTGTTCAAAGTTCCTATCAAGTTATCATTGTGACTATCCTTATATCCTTCATTTTCAGGCACATTTTTTTGATTAATGTCATGAATATCAACATTATTCGATTCTTTCCGATTATTATTATTATAGTTAGAGTCTTTATTTCTCAATTTTGACAATAGGATACTTGCTTTTTTCTTCATAACTGTTTTTTTAAATTTTTCAACTAATTTATTATATTCATTAGATAATAATTGAACTCTATTTTCTAATTTTTGAACTTCCGCATCACTTATACTATCGTCATTACTCTGTAAAATATTTTTAAAAAAAAAGAAAATTTTATTTTTTTTTGTACACTTTTTAAATTAAAATTATTACTAAGCATGTTATAATATATATGTAAAAATTACTTCTTCATTTTTTGAACAATTTGGGCAATGTACGAATAATAAATAAGAAATAATAATCCATGAACACAAAGATGCTACTATTATTAAACCTATTCGTTTACGCCTCATACTAATTATATACAAAGTTTAATTTTCAATTTTACGGCAGGATACATTATCGTAGGTCACATTTTGACAGTAACATTAAATTCACCTGTAAAAACCAAAAAATAAGGAATAACATTTATAAGTGATCAAATCAGGTTAAATTTAATGCTATTAAAATCCCTTTAAATGTAATGATAAAAGCAAGCACCAAAGGCGATAATGATAATAAAAAAAGAAATTATGAAATCTAATCATAATTTCCATTTTAAAAAAAAAAAAAAAAAAAAAAGTAGAAAAGAGAAAATGATAAAAACTTACAATTCAAAGTGCAAATTAAATTCATATATTTAAAAAAAATCACAAATAAAATAACGA